GGGGGGGGGGGGGGGTAGGAAGGGAACAGTAGATGGGAGAAGGGAACAACTCTAATATCTTAGAAGTGTCACATAATGTGTGCCTATACACATGCCTGACACCTGCTCCAAAGTGTTCTAATTTGACACATGGAACAAGCTTGAGTTAAAGTGCCTCTGCTACCATTTTGAAGCACAGGGTGCTGAATACATGAGACTCTGCGGGTGCTTTAATTAGAGTGGCTCCTGAGAACTGTTCTAATTAAAGTGCCCCTCCCCTCCACACCTGGAGCATGTGTAAAGACACCCATTGAATACAAAAATGATTTTTTTTCTTTTTAAACTTTGAAGGTCTTACCTCCTCTGAAACCAGGTTATCAAAGCAAAGGAAGCTCCAGTTTTCTTTAGGGTGTTGAGACTGTAGAGAAAGAACAAGAGCCACTGGGTGCCAGAGTGAGATAAGAGTAAATATCAAGGCTACTATGGGCAGTAGTGGGGGCGGAGGGGGGCAAGAACACTACTCAGAAACACTTCATTTCCAGTGTCATGGGCTTTTTTAGGCTCATGGTTCTCAACCTGTGTTGCACAGAGCCTTGGGGCTCCACAAGAGGTCATCATGGCTTCCACAAAGAGACTGGGGTAATGGTGGAGTGGGCCAGGAGACAGTGCAGCAGCATTGTGGGGCCAGGTCACCTGGCTCTGTATCAAAATTTAGTATAGAGGTAGAGGTTCCCTGGTAGAAGAAGTGATATGAAAGGGTTGTGTGTCTTCAGGAAGTTTGAAAACCACTATTTTATACCATAATGTCTCTGAGGGAAAATCCCTGGCATTCCCTCCCCATACACTGTAAATAATTCACTAATGATGACTCTAATCAAGTTTGCTAGACTTACAGTTTATATTCTTAAGAATGTCTAAGTTTCAAAATCAGGCAAGTAAAAATACCATTACTAAAACCACCCTAGTTTGCAACCTCAATTCTCTTGTCTGAGGAACTTCCTCCCTTTTCATTTTTTTCTTCCATATGTCCAGAGAAAATAACCCTGCATTATGTATGAACTCAAAGTACTTTCTGAATGCCATACATCTAAGAGACTTTCCTCCAAAATCAAGTAGCCACAGATATCATGCAAGTATTACATTGCAGGAAATTACAGAAATAGCTTCCAGAGGCAAATTTCAACTAAGGCTAGCAGAAATAGAAAGAAAGAGTGTTTTTGGAGAGCAACACCAAAAATCTTAGAATTATAGTGGTGCTGAGAACAGAGAATGGAAAAAACAATGATGAGACAATTGATTAAAAAATTGGCATATACTATTCTGAATTCTTTTGAAAAAGTCTGGCCCCTTTTTTGATGGCCTAGTAATGGGAGCAGGCAATTCCCCATAGGCTGAAATTAGCACATCTATGAAATATATGCGGATTATGATTGGAGAAGGATTGGATGGGCAGTGCCATGATTCAAGCAGTCCCATAACAGTTTTAGAAATTCACACAGTGTTTTCTTTCTATAATGAGGTGCTGTGGAGTTGTTCTTTGATTGTAATATAGTCCCAATAAATTAGATTTCTACTCCTGATTTCCATATCTTTATCTCTAAGTCATCATGACTTTATGCCTGGTGCACTAAATCAGGGTAAAACAAGTTTAGGGAAAAGGAGTGTTACACGCAGTACTTGGCACGTCATAAAGAGCAGAGTCCTATGGGATATGTATATTCTGTTCATGTCTTAAGAAGCCCTAGAGCAATAATGTCTTTTCTCTCATGAGACAATTTCTAGCCACTGCACATTCATCATACATTTCACAGCTAAAAAAATTGCCTGCTGCAACTCCAAATTAGTTGTCAATCCCTTTTACCCAATTATCCACAGCACAAACAAATGTTTACTTTTCAAGAGTCTATAATCATAGTCTTACTTAGTATAATCTGTTATATGCAACATTATGTTCATTAGAATTGCTTTAGATGTGTTATTTGACACGTGCATATATTTATGCTGTCACATTTTATATATGCAAGCAATTTTTCTTGTGTCACTTGTTTTAGAGTGGTGCAGACCTATTAACCCACACACAGTCACTAGTGAAAACTTCCTTTGTTGTCTGTGGAGGGTGATCTTATAATAGTATATATAAAGAGAAACAGGTTCTGAGCTCACTTATACTGGCCTCTATTTGGCATAAATCCTGTGAAGTAAATAGAGTTAAATGAAAGCAGAACCAATGTAGCCTAGAAAGCAACTATGCCAAACAAATGTTTGGGAGGGATGGAAAAGCATGTAATTAATGATAAACAGTTGATTGAAATGTTGAGACTGTCAAGTAATTCAAAACCAAACTTTAGATTAGTTTTCCCCCAAAACTATACAGAATGTTTTCTCAGAAAGTTTTCAAATGCAGTAGAAATATTTTTTAGTTTTAAAAATTCCAACATTTCTGGAAAGCCAAATGTATGTGCATTTTTCTAATTAATAAGACAATGAAACTAAAACTATGTGAATATTTGTTTGTTCAAATGCACAGCAAAATGGAAAATATCTATGTAAAAGAGGTTGTCTTGAACAAATCTGACACTAAATTTGTTTCTAACATAGTCCCAAGACAAATCTCTTCTGTTTTAGTTTAGCTAACTAAATTTTTAAGTCCACTCCAAACTTGGCTAGGTACAGACATCCAAAAAGTCTGAGACAGAATAGATCTAAGTTGCACAGTTTTCTGTGAAGCGGCATAGTTTACATCGGTAACTAACAGAACACACATTTGCCCTTTGGTCGGGGCCAGGGACGGCAAATCTTAGACTTGCATCTTAACATTTTTAAACCAGTCTGAGTGCTGAACTTCTGTACTGTTATGGGTATAGACTGGTTTTGTGTGCTGAACTTTTGTTATGGATATAAACTGGTTTCTGATCATTTACACCAGTAAAAGTGCAATGTCTGTACCTGGCCCTTATGTTTGTCTTGTTATCAAGGCTTTCATTTTAAAAACAAAAACAACCCCCTCCCCCCCTTTACTCAGTTTTGGCTGTAAAGAAAAAAAGTTGTTTTGTTGTTTTTTTTTCTGAAGGAAGGGCTTGAAACACTGCAACCCTACCCTGTGCAAACCAACCTCCTGAATTTGGGTCATATTCATCAGTATCACACTCATCTTCCTCTCCAAAACTGCATGTTTTTAACACAAACTAAAATATTTTACTTTACCGGTAGTAAGTGAAACTGACTGTGGCTCAGTCCAATAAATACTTGTGTATACTTGGTTTTGGAATGTGAGCAGTCCTACTTATGTTAATGGACTACAGAAGTAGTCCTACTGATACTGAGATGATTCAGACCTTGGTCCAAGTATAAGCGTTTGCACAGTCAGGATCTATAAGCATAAAGGGAAGTGATGAGCAAATGAAATGCATAAAGGAAGCTATCTTCACAAATGGAAATGATAATTTTGTGTTTAATATGCTTTAGATTATGAACCTGAAATACAATTCTGTTGGGCAGATACCTAGTTGTAAAGGGAAACTGAACAGGTGCAAAAAATTATTTGCACAGATCAAATTGCCTGATTAAGGCATTAACGTGTCATTCCCTGAAGTGTTATTAACAAAACAGATTTGGACAAACTTTAAAGAAATATGATTTTTTACTTGGACAGTGTGAACCTCCAATGCACGACATGCTGTGTTTTACAAATATCCTGGGTGGCCCATCATTTCAAATGTGAAATGAAGAAAATGTCATTCTTTAAAAGAATCAGACTCTGAATGTCAAGAATGTTTGCCCAAATCTGGGTGTTAGCAACGAGTATAGCATTTTGCTATAGAAGTGTATTTTCATATAAGTGACTATGTATTGTCTTATACTAGAGTACTGTTGTGCTTCTTTCGCAGTAACATAGACTTTGTGTAGCATTTTCACATTATTCTAATAAAAATACAAGATAATGATATGTGACTAATTCTTAGCCACCTCTGGCTATTGAAACATCTATTCAGTCCAGTTACACTGACTAATACGTGTGAAATATTTCAGTAAAATATTTCAGAAAAATAACATTTTTAATGTACCATGTGTGAATAATACCATTTTAATGTGCAACTAAAAGCAAAAACATTCCACCAAGGCAAAGGAGCTCAACACTTGTTAACTCATTCCAAAGAAACTGGAAAATATAAAGCTACAATATCCCAGGGGGAATATTTATCATTTTGCTACCAAACAAAAGGTGGATAAATAGAAGTCAGACTTCTTGATCTGTCTTTTTGGAAAAATTAGCCTCTTTCTTGAATCAGAATTGAAAGGCTGGGCAGGAAAGATTCAAACAGATTTTTTTTCTGTTTCACTTACTCCACTTACAGGCAGAGGAAACAGTTGTTTCTTGTGGGGGGGGGGTTCTTGGCAGGGGAAGGGTTGTGTTTTAAGAAAATTCCTGCTCCACCCAAACTTCAAAACCAACTACCTGAGAAGGGCAGTGGCATTTCTATTCAGACAGTGCTGAGAAAGTCAATTGACTTCATGGCTCATTATCATCTCCCTTTTCCTGTTAATCTCTCCCCCCTACACAGATGTTAATGGTCTTGCTATTTCACTCTTCAAATTATCTTTTCTTCTGCAATTTTGCTCTTTGTTAGCCATTCCTGGTAATGTCTCTCTTGTATTTCACAGTCATGCAAAAACCTAAACTCAGGCCTGGTAATATTAACTTAGGTATAGAAATGAATGATAGGGAGGTATCGGGGGCACTGTCAAGATACTCAAGAAGGCTAGGTTTTGTTTTATGGATCTGAATAAGAGATTTATATTTAACTATAATGA